CAATCAGAGTTCACATTGCAGATTCCTCAAACAGTACATGCTGCTCTTATTAGAGGCTCAAATGGCTTCTTCATTATTTTGAATGATCGGGGCAATGGGTAGGAACATGATAATTGGAACCGCATGTGGGTTTTCTGTATTGCTTGGCTTTGTCCTGTCACGAGGTATAGAATGTCACTTATGAGAATCATTCTTTTTCATATTGAAAAAAAAGAATGCTAAATTTCTGTGTTTTACTGTTTTGTTTATGCTTTTGGCCAGTACTCTAGAAAATGTAAAGAAGTAGCGGATATGGGGTAACTGGTTCTCTCCAGTGATGTATACAGAAAATGCTATTCTTGTAATGATTTTACTGGGCATAGTTGGAGACATGTAAGCATATTCAGTGTATTCTTCTAGGTTCCTGATATCGTTTTCATCTTGAAAAAGAATGAACTAATAATCAAGTTCACTTTTCTTCTTAAAGGTACCCTCAAACACGAACGAATCACTGGGAGTCGAGATTTTAAAGTCTTAAGGATTTTTTCCTGAAGCATACTGGTATTGGATAGGAGCAGGGGCTTTATTTGGCTTCATACTTCTATAAAACTCCTGTTTCATTCTCGCTCTCACTTATCTTAATCGTGAGCATCTTGACGCAGTAACATACTGAAATATGCTGCAGCTCTGGGAAAGCCTCAAGCTGTTCTGATGGAACAAGATAAAAGGGAAGATAATCGGGTTCCAAGTAACGAAACTGGTATGTTTTATCCTAAGAGTAAAATCAATATACGTGTTTATTATGTTGTTTCTGGTATAATGATGATACTACTGAAATTTCAATTAAAATTCAGAAACAGGAGATGAAAGTAGAAAGGCAAACATTGAAAAGAAAGCAACGATTCTTCCATTTGAACCGCACTCCATTTCCTTCAATAAAGTCACATACTCTGTTGGCATGCTGCTGGTAACTAAAAATTGAACATAATATTTTGGTGGAGGTCTCTACGTTTAAAAGTTGCAAAGAGCTTCACGTTAGAAACTCCTTGTTGAATCTTCAACATTTAAATATATTAACGTTTCTTCTCTATAATAGCTTCTCAGAGATAGGCAACAGAAGGGTTCAAGGTTCGCCACCATCTATTTATGAAAAGCAGTACATGGCAGCCTTTGATGAAAAAAATCTGGCATAAATGTGAGGGGAGTGTAGAAAAACACAATTAAACAAATAAATGAGTCCCCTTACTAACAGCTTAAACTTCCAGATGGTCTGATTTATATGCCTAGTTCAAAAACAAAAAATATTCAAATGCCTTGCAGGAAATGAAGGATCAGGGTGCTACTGAAGATAGATTGGTACTTCTGAAGGGTGTAAGCGGAGCATTCAGGCTAGGTGTTCTCACAGCTCTAGTCGGTGTTAGTGGAGCTGGTAAAACGACTCTGATGGATGTGTTGGCTGGATGAAAAACGGGTGGATATATTGAGGGAAATATTAAAATATCTGGTTATCCAAAGAAGCAAGGAACCTTTGCTCGGATTTCTGGATACTGTGAACAGAATGACATCCATTCTCCTTATGTTACAGTTTATGAGTCACTTCTCTATTCAGCTTGGCTGCGTTTGGCCCCAGAAATTGATGCTTGAACAAGAAAGGTTGGTTATCTCAAGATATTATGTATTTAAGCAGTCCAATAACAACTACAGTAACGAGCTAAATCGTATTGCACATTTACAAGAGAAAATTATGTACGTTGTCTATCAATCTACCTCAGCTCACCTCCTTTTCTAACTGATGGAGTAAACATAGATGGAGTTATCTATTTAAGTCATTTGTTTTAAATGAAAGTTCTACTTAAATTCATGAACGTGTAAAAAAATTAAATTCAGATATGGAGTGTCTTCCATTTACTTGAGTCTCATGAAGCTGTCTCACAGAAGAGTTGAAGAAAATAGTGAAAATTGAGTTACCGTTGGAATAATCACCCAATGCAAAATCTTGATCTGCACTTTATAGCTTTAAAATAAACAATATTACTAAATAAGAAGGACCATGAAATTCTAGTAAGTTTCCCGCCGTTTGAACCATGACCAGAATCTAATCAATTGGAAATCAGCGAATGCACCTAATAATATTTTGTTCTGGTTATATTTCAGACATTCGTTGAGGAAATTATGGAACTTGTAAACCTAACTTCATTTAGAGGAGTACTAGTTGCCTTACCTGGGGTCAGTGGTCTCTCCATGGAGCAGCGCAAGAGGCTAATAATCGCGGTTGAGCTGGTGGCAAATCCATCCATAATATTCATGGACAAGCTGACTTCAGGACTGGATGCAAGAGCTGCTGCAGTTGTGATGAAAACAGCCAGAAACACTGTAGACACTGGAAGAACAGTTGTATGCACCATCAATCAGCCTAGCATTGACATAATTGAATCATTCGATGAGGTGAGATTCTGTTGATAGCTAAGCAAATGTTGATGCTTCTTTCCTTTTAAGTTTTACAATACCAATTAGATAAATGGATTTGCAGCTAATGCTACCAAAAAATATCACCTGAAAGATCTCGAGCTTGATGGTCTAACTGCACTTTGATGAACACAATCAGTCTGTAAATACCTGTAACAAAGGCAACGAGGTGTGTGCTCGTCGCTCCTTCTATGCTTAAGTCAGATAGGAAATTTAGTGCGTGAGGCTATAAACTGAGGATAATAAAAACGTACCTTGATGTTGAGCCTTGGCCAAGTATTTATTGGTGTTGCTGAAAGAGTCATTTTCCCCTTAGGACTAGGTGTTGGAGTTTGATTAGAAGTATATTGTTAAGAGTTCTAATCAAGGAAGGAGTAGACTTGGTGGGGTCTATTTTTTGGAGATTAAGTCAGTGGGTAGGGTCAAATAAGAGATAAGCCCGACCTAAAAGAAACCCCAACCTAAAACCGGCGTGACACGCCAAGATCAACTCGGGATCAAAGGTCGAGGTCGAGGTCGAGGATCGTGGGTAAATTGAGGTCTAGTTCGGGGTTACCAATCCGGAATCATCAGCAGCTATTTTTAATGAAGCAAGGGGGACAGAAGATATATGTAGGGCCACTGGGTCGACATCCTTGCCTTCTGATCGAGTACTTTGAGTTGAGCTGAGATGATCCAAATGATAAGATTTCTTCTTCACATGTAGATGATCAAACGTGTTGGCTGAAATCTTGTTTTATCTTTATCCAAGGGAATTAAAGGGGGACGAAAAATAAGGGATGGCTTCAATCCTGCAACCTGGATGTTGGAAGTAACATCTTCAGCTGAATAAATGATTTTGGGGGTTGATTTTGCAGAAATGTACAAAATCTCAGAACTCTTCAGGTCAGTTCATCCACAGATTAACTAATCGGAGTCAGGGTTATAGTAGATAACATGCTTAAGACTCTAATTTGAATTTGGAAGGAACAAGGCTCTCATTAACGAATTAAGTACTCCACCCCCTGTTATGAAGTATCTGCATTTCTCAACTCAATATTCACAGCCTTTCTTCATCCAATGCATGGCATGTCTATGGAAACAACAGTGGTCATTTTGGCGCAATCCTCCTTATACTGCAGTAAGACTTCTGTATACAACCATCCTTGCCATCCTATTAGGATCGATGGTCTGGGATCTCGGTCCTAGAATGTTAGTGCAAAAAAAATTACTTTTGCAATCATACTTAAGGATATCTTTTTTCTTCATCAAAATGCATATTCTTTTGGGATATCATGCATTGCAGGGATAGAGAACAAGATATTTTTAACGCTATGGGTTCTATGTACGCTTCTGTCCTGTTCCTTGGGTTCCAAAGTGCCTCGTCAGTACAGCCTGTCATTGTTGTCGAGCGGACGGTCTTTTACAGAGAAAGGGCTGCTGGAATGTATTCCTCCTTGCCATATGCCTTTGGACAAGTATGTTTGCAACTTAGCTAGACGGGTTCTAGTAAATCTTTAATCTGTTACATAACAACTATATTTAACTTTACTTCTTCCCATCTGGTTCTAATCTTAGAAATTCTTGCGCAGGCCGTCATTGAAATTCCATATATATTTGCCCAGGCTATTATATATGGAACCATTGTGTATGCAATGATTGGTCTTGAATGGACAGCAGAAAAATACATTTGGTATATATTTTTTATGTTTTTTACTCTACTTCACCTATCATGGCATGATGGCTGTTGCTGTGGCTTCTAATCTTTATATTTCCAACATCATGTCTTCTGGGATTTTTGCATTATGGAATCTCTTTTCGGGATTTATAATTCCATGACCTGTAAGTTTTTAAAATCTTATTTGATATAAAACATGCATATGAATATATTTACAATCAGGCACTTGAACTAAATCTAGTATTTGTTTTCGTTGTTCAACAGAGGGCTCCTGTGTGGGGGAGATGGCTACATTGGGCATGTCCCGTTGCCTGGACAGTATATGGCTTAGTTGCATCACAATACAAAGGTGCAAACCATCAGCTTGACACGAAGCAGTCCGTTCAAGAGTTCCTCAGAAGTTATTTTGGGTTCAGACAAGATTTTGTTGGTGAGGTTGCAGCAGTTGTCGTTGGGTTTGCAGCTGCTTTTGCTCTTATATTTGCATTCTCCATTAAGGCTCTCACTTTTCAAAGGCGATAAGGATTTTCGAGTCAACAGCAGCAAACTAATGGCCTTTTGTTGGTCTTGTTCATAATAATTTACAGTTACTACATGAATCTTCTATCGCCACGCGGTTCAGTTCAAGCAGGGGAGAATGAAACTTGATGCTAACTGGGTTTAAATGTAAATTGAAAGAAGGATTAGCTCTTTGAGGAATGTGGATTTTATGTTATCAAAGAACATGATCCACATTCCTCATAAATTCGAGGTCGGCTACTTGAATTTCTTTTTCACTGCTCTTTCTCAATTCATTGCTTGACTTACCGGAAGATCTAAAGCAATTATATCCTTAGCAACTAAAAGTCTTGATCATTTGCTCTACCTATGGTCCTGTGTGGTAATTTGCATATGGTAGTATGATGAGTTTCGCCTGCAATATGAATTGATTTAATGGAAAATTACAAGGCATAATTAATAAGATAGAGAGTATGATACAAATTTGATCCTATTTAAAGGGAAAATTACAAAAGTCAGTATCACTTGCATGTCTTGCTTTTACAGCTATATATATATATATATATATATTCGGATATGTTTGTTCTCAAGTTGGACAATAGGGGTCAGAGAATGGATATCACTCCTGTAGATCAAAGAGTCGAGCAGCAATTTTTTCCCTTCATCAAGCTCGATCACGACAATGATTTCCTCCATTTGTTAGCATTTTTAGTGTTTACGAGCCTTGTTTTCATCTGTAACGGAGTTTTTAGCCCTATTCCAACCTCGGCTTCTCTTTCAACGTCTTCATTCCTGTTTCCCCTAAGTGTTGGAATTCCAAACTTCCTCCAAACGAGAAATCCTTTCTTTTTCTCCATTAGCTTATCAATCTTTCCTTCCAGTGCCATGCAATGGCTCTGTAGCCTTAGTACATCTTCTTTCAACCTCTTTATTTCCATCTGTTGCACATTTATTTCGCGCTTTGACAAGCACCGGGACGAGGCATCTAGTGCGATGTTTGGACTAAGCATGCCACTGAAAGGGCCACTGAAATCAAGAATCTGCTTATTGAGCTTGTTTTGCTCTGAAAAGAGCACTTGAACTACAGTTCGAACAGGCAATCGCTCGTTTTGAGCTGCATGAATGGATGCCTCTAATGACAGTTTTCTGCTATCAATTAGCTTACAAAGCCTGTTTCTCTCTTTCTTTGACACCCCTGGATGTGCCTGCCAGAATAATGAATCTTGATTAATTCCACAGAATCCTTCAATTTTCAGGAGTTCATCTGCATTTATGTAGTCAAACCAGGGTGAATCGGAACTGAACCAAACTCCTATTCCGAAAATGCTTTTAGAGGAAATCATATTGAACCAGGTTCCTTTAAAAACTTTTCTAACTACCAGAAGCACTTTTATAAAATTAGCCAAATAGGTCTAAAAACAGTTTTTGAATATCAAAAGATCTTTTGACTTTTCAAAAGACATGCCAAATGGACTCTAGAAAGCCAGGAAGGCAGAAAAAAATTGGTACTTATGCTGCTTGAATTTCTATTTGGTTGCATAAGGCTATTTTAAATACTTGAAATTAGGTTTTTAAATGGAAGTGAACTGTTTGGTTCATAATTACATTAGGAACCAACGATTCCCATTTGTTCTTGATTCGGCTCTCTTCAAAATGAGACCAAAGCAGACCGTTCCACCGCCAAACAAATTGACAACATATATAAAATCCAATGCTTAGGGCATCTTGGTACCTTTTTGTCAGGATAAGATGTATATAAACAAACAGACAGAGCCACAAAAATATAAAATATTGTACCCTGGCTGCTTCAATGTTTAGCTGAAGAATCTGGTATTGGTGACAATACAAGAAATCTCACTATTCTATCCAATTTGTGAACCAGAAAGAACCTTGAGATTTCTAATTTACTTATAATAATCAAATGGGAGGTTCAAAGTTGGAGCTTAAAACACATATTGACATAGAGTGTGCGTTAAAATGTGAAGCAAAGAGAGAAATATTGTTCGATATAACTTACTTTGAGGTAGGTATCAATGGCACGATACAATCCATCTTCCATGGCACGAGCATGACTTGGAACCTCGCTAGCAAGAGCAACAAATTCGGACGATGTCAAATTGGAATCAACGGCCGCTTCTGCAAGGTAACAATCCACCAGTTTCGTGACTTTAATAAGGGCAGCTCCACTTCTTACAGCTTCATCCAAATTCATGAAGCTCCTCACCAGTCGAAGAACAAGTTCAACATCTAGCAGGGTTGTACAAGTGTGACTAAATGATGGTATCATCAGTTCACTCAAGGAAGCCTGGTCGAGTTGCCATGAAACACGCTTTTCAAGCTCAGCACGATAAGCAGGCTCGACGCAAACCATGCTAGCAATGCGTAGTAGCCTTAGCAAGAAGTTGCAAGGAATTGATTCCTTCTCAGGAGGAAGAATTCCCACTAGAGTTTCAACAAAGAACCTTTTCTTCATCCATGAAGTGGTGATACTCTCGGGGGACTCCTCGGCATTCGGAATCATTTTTTTACCGTCCCCGTCCAACAGGTCGGGAAGCCATTTGGAAGCATAATGTGTTATGATTGAACCAATTAAATCTGGCCTCACCCCTTTTTCCTTAATGCTGGAGAGTCTCTTGACGAAATTATCGATGTCGAGAATGCAGGCATCATCGAACCAGCAAAATTCGGACTCGAAATGTGTTTCCAACATTTGTTTCTGCATTTTCATGGACTAATTTTTGGAGTTGGAACTGAGAACTCTTTGAAGTACAAATGGCTCTTTTAAGACACTGTATGGTAGTGATTGGAAAAGTATGCAAGTCATCTTATGTTAGGATTTCCTATCCATTTATATCGGGTCTGTATTATCCCAACCGGTCCAGTCGACCTATTCTAAGGTTCCATTTGGTGTACCATATTATATCGTATAAAGAATAGAGAATAAAATTAGAATGGACAATAATAGGGGACGGTAATCTGGTAAATTATTCTGGTCTTCTAGTAAAAATAAATGTAATACATCTTAATTCACCCTAATACCATCTACCTACTACTATTCATTCTGGGTTTACTAAATCCTTTATATGGTGTTCCGTTCCAAGAATTCGAACAGGGTTTTGTACCAATCCGATAAAAACGAATAGATTAGATCAAAATACAAAAAATTATCAAAAATAAATAGTTACCCTACACAATAGTTTTAACTACAATAATAAAAGGCAAAGAACACGATACCAAGAGGGCCACATTTGAAGGTCCATAAATATCGAGATATGCAAATTCACCACTTTAGAATTGTCACTATTTGTCCTAAAGCTTCTAGTAATCGCAACAACACAAAACGGCACCCAACGTCCAATGGCAAAATCGTCCAACTTTTATCATATTGCTCGAAACTGAATTCTGACAATACCATAGGATCCATATCACTACCAACAACATTTTGTCTTTTAAAGTCGTCGTCTGAAACCACCGGATGCACCCTCATTTGGCTTGCTGGCGTCCCCATGTGCTACTCTCCCGATAGCGCCTCCACCTGCACAGTCACAGATTTCTCAACAACACAAGTTTTGATATCATTTGTCGCGAAAATCCCTCGAGAAATCTTGATTTTAGGCTAAAAAAACCAAATGAACACCAAACAATCAAGGCTCGACCCAAAACTTTCACCTTCACTTTGATTGCTCCAAGATTTACATCCACAAAGGATGCAGTGGTGGTAATTTGCAAGCCACAAAGGCAAGGGAAAACAAAGAGGTACCAATGGTAATCACTCAACCAAGAAACGACTCCTCACTATGTTTTTCTATCTTCAAAATACACGTACACCACACACACGGCTGTTGGAGGAAGAAGCATAATATATAGATACATTGGGTTATTAGGTTTGGGCTTAACTTATTCATTTAAATGGGCCAAAGATATATCTCTCAATGGGCTAAGTTAATGGACCAACAATAATCCAAAATCACATAATTAATCAAATCACCAATCCAACTCCAACTTGGACCTTCCAAAAGTGTCGGTCGTATTTAAGTCGAGTCAAGTTTATGGTATCGATAAATTATCCGTCAACTGTTTTAAATCATCGCCCAGATTTATTGAATATCAAAACTCAACACTCATGGTGTACCTGTACTATCATCTGCAAAACACAAATACTAACTAAACAGGCAGGATCCCAAATATTTGAATTGACAATTTCTAAAGGTATGTGTTTTTTATTGAATGAATTTCGAAATGTAGATTGACAAAGTTTGCCATATGTATGGACTAGAATACAAAAGTACAAGTTTCTTAACAAGAGAAACAAGATAGGTCAAGGCCTTCAGAACTAGATAAGGAATTTGATTACTGCGATAGTCTAACTTTTTTGTGTCTGCTATTTACGTTGCAACACTTGATAGTTATTGAAGCAACTATAGAAAAACTATTATTGGTACAAAATTTAGTAAAGCAGAATCTAAGTAGTAATTAGTTAAGAGCTTGTGGATTCCATTTTAGCGTGTATTCAGTTGCCTTTTAGGACCGAATGAATTTTTATCAATGGTTTCTCATACCTGTTTACCAATGATGATTTCTTACATGTGATTTTAGCTTACTGTAATGGCTACCATGGCAATGACTGTCTTCTTCCAAACTAAAATGGACCGAGATAACCAAACTGATGGAGGGATTTATGCTCGTGCTCTATTTTACTCTGTCGCTACAATTATGTTCAATGGAATATCAGAGATAAGCCTGACTATTCAGGAGCTTCCAATCTTCTACAAGCAAGGGGATTTTCTCTTTTTTCCCTCATGGGCATATGCACTTCCGGCTTGGATACTCCAAATCCCTGTTACCTTTCTTGAAGCAGCCGTGTGGGTGATAGTCACTTACTATGAAATTGGATTTGATCCTAATTTTGGAAGGTAGAAATAATAATGCAATCCACTGAATGCCAGTGTCTCTCCAATATAAAATTATCTATTGAGTATCAATCAGAGTTCACATTGCAGATTCCTCAAACAGTACATGCTGCTCTTATTAGAGGCTCAAATGGCTTCTTCATTATTTTGAATGATCGGGGCAATGGGTAGGAACATGATAATTGGAACCGCATGTGGGTTTTCTGTATTGCTTGGCTTTGTCCTGTCACGAGGTATAGAATGTCACTTATGAGAATCATTCTTTTTCATATTGAAAAAAAAGAATGCTAAATTTCTGTGTTTTACTGTTTTGTTTATGCTTTTGGCCAGTACTCCAGAAAGTGTAAAGAAGTAGCGGATATGGGGTAACTGGTTCTCTCCAGTGATATATACAGAAAATGCTATTCTTGTAATGATTTTACTGGGCATAGTTGGAGACATGTAAGCCTGATATTGTTTTCAGCTTGAAAAAGAATGAACTAATAATCAAGTTCACTTTTCTTCTTAAAGGTACCCTCAAACACGAACGAATCACTGGGAGTCGAGATTTTAAAGTCTTAAGGATTTTTTCCTGAAGCATACTGGTATTGGATAGGAGAAGGGGCTTTATTTGGCTTCATACTTCTACAAAACTCCTGTTTCATTCTCGCTCTCACTCATCTTAATCGTGAGCATCTTCATTTTTTATGATTTCGTTACATGTTTGTTTGAAGTTGACGCAGTAACATACTGAAATATGCTGCAGCTCTGGGAAAGCCTCAAGCTGTTCTGATGGAACAAGATAAAAGGGAAGATAATCGGGTTCCAAGTAACGAAACTGGTATGTTTTATCCTAAGAGTAAAATCAATATACGTGTTTATTATGTTGTTTCTGGTATAATGATGATACTACTGAAATTTCAATTAAAATTCAGAAACAGGAGATGAAAGTAGAAAGGCAAACATTGAAAAGAAAGGAACAATTCTTCCATTTGAACCGCACTCCATTTCATTCAATGAAGTCACATACTCTGTTGGCATGCTGCTGGTAACTAAAAATTGAACATAATATTTTGGTGGAGGTCTCTTCGTTTAAAAGTTGCAAAGAGCTTCACGTTAGAAACTCCTTGTTGAATCTTCAACATTTAAATATATTAACGTTTCTTCTCTATAATAGCTTCTCAGAGATAGGCAACAGAAGGGTTCAAGGTTCGCCACCATCTATTTATGAAAAGCAGTACATGGCAGCCTTTGATGAAAAAAATCTGGCATAAATGTGAGGGGAGTGTAGAAAAACACAATTAAACAAATAAATGAGTCCCCTTACTAACAGCTTAAACTTCCAGATGGTCTGATTTATATGCCTAGTTCAAAAACAAAAAATATTCAAATGCCTTGCAGGAAATGAAGGATCAGGGTGCTACTGAAGATAGATTGGTACTTCTGAAGGGTGTAAGCGGAGCATTCAGGCTAGGTGTTCTCACAGCTCTAGTGGGTGTTAGTGGAGCTGGTAAAACGACTCTGATGGATGTGTTGGCTGGATGAAAAACGGGTGGATATATTGAGGGAAATATTAAAATATCTGGTTATCCAAAGGAGCAAGGAACCTTTGCTCGGATTTCTGGATACTCTGAACAGAATGACATCCATTCTCCTTATGTTACAGTTTATGAGTCACTTCTCTATTCAGCTTGGCTGCGCTTGGCCCCAGAAATTGATGCTCGAACAAGAAATTTTGGTTATCTCAAGATTTAAGCAGTCCAATAACAACTACAGTAACGATCTAAATCGTATTTCACATTTACAAGAGAAAATTATGTACGTTGTCTATCAATCTACCTCAGCTCACCTCCTTTTCTAACTGATGGAGTAAACATAGATGGAGTTATCTATTTAAGTCCTTTGTTTTAAATGAAAGTTCTACTTAAATTCATGAACATGTAAAAAAATTTAATTCAGATATGGAGTGTCTTCCATTTACTTGAGTCTCATGAAGCTGTCTCACAGAAGAGTTGAAGAAAATAGTGAAAATTGAGTTACCGTTGGAATAATCACCCAATGCAAAATCTTGATCTGCACTTTATAGCTTTAAAATAAACAATATTACTAAATAAGAAGGACCATGAAATTCTAGTAAGTTTCCCGCCGTTTGAACCATGACCAGAATCTAATCAATTGGAAATCAGCGAATGCACCTAATAATATTTTGTTCTGGTTATATTTCAGACATTCGTTGAGGAAATTATGGAACTTGTAAACCTAACTTCATTTAGAGGAGTACTAGTTGCCTTACCTGGGGTCAGTGGTCTCTCCATGGAGCAGCGCAAGAGGCTAATAATCGCGGTTGAGCTGGTGGCAAATCCATCCATAATATTCATGGACGAGCTGACTTCAGGACTGGATGCAAGAGCTGCTGCAGTTGTGATAAAAACAACGAGAAACACTGTAGACACTGGAAGAACAGTTGTATGCACCATCAATCAGCCTAGCATTGACATAATTGAATCATTCGATGAGGTGAGATTCTGTTGATAGCTAAGTAAATGTTGATGCTTCTTTCCTTTTAAGTTTTACAATACCAATTAGATAAATGGATTTGCAGCAGATGCTACCAAAAAATATCACCTGAAAGATCTCGAGCTTGATGGTCTAACTTCACTTTGATGAACACAATCGGTCTGTGAATACCTGCAACAAAGGCAACGAGGTGTGTGCTCGTCGCTCCTCCGATACTTAAGTCAGATAGGGAATTTAGTGCGTGAGGCTATAAACTGAGGATAATGAAAACGTACCTTGATGTTGAGCCTTGGCCAAGTATTTATAGGTGTTGGTGGGGAAGCTGTAGAAGGATTCTATTACTGAAAGAGTCATTTTCCCCTTAGGACTAAGTGTTGGATTTTGATTAGAAGTATATTGTTAAGAGTTCTAATCAAGGAAGGAGTAGACTTGGTGGGGTCTATTTTTTGGAGATTAAGTCGGTGGGTAGGGTCGGATAAGA